ACATTTTCTTCCATACAAAGTATGTTCGATGTTTTTTTTTTTTATATGAAAGCAAATAGGCAACACCGACAACAAAAACAAAATCGCCAAAAATCAATGGCAAGTGCCAGATACTTCAATCTTGCAATTTTATACAAAAATTTAATGGGCTACAAAACTGCATACTGAAAATCTTTTTAAGAAACCTTATTAAAAGGCTTAAAATTTGTTTTTTTTGTTTGTTGATTTTTTTAATATTGCACAAAGTTTTACATTGTTTTTATTTTTACGATTTTTGACAAAGGATAAACTATATTAAAAAAAATAACTAAAATTAAATAACAAAGAAAACATTGTTGTGTTGCGCTTATAATTCTGACACGGGGTGTATAACGCATGGTATACTACTTTGCATGTTTTTATTTATTCTCCCCCTTCGTTTTTAGTTTTCTTGATTGTATCCGCACTGCATTGAAGGCACAAGTTTCCACATTTTAACAAGAAATGTATCCTTAAATAAAACATGCAGTTTTTATAACTAATGTAAATGGTTTTTAGTAACTTTGCATTTTAGTCGAAACGACCGGTTAATAGGTTAATTTCTTACGATTAATTGCAAATATTAATCGAATGCTTTCGATTAACCGATTATTAATTACTTTTTGCCTTTACTAAATCAGTCATCCTCCGAGGAGGAAAGCCAAGATGCGCTCCGTGCTTACCTACGGACAACTCATGAACGAAAGACACAAGATCACGCGGGAAGGAAAGAACGAAAAAAGTTATTTTCTAACTGCCGAAATCTCGACGCCATCTTTGTTGTAAGAAGTAAACAACGAAGAGAACGGAGAAAACCGCGAAATTGTTGAACGCATGAATAATCATTTTTATTATGCAAATTCTTCTATAAATCACGCCGTTGTGTTAAATTATTCTTTACCTTATGTGTACACATGTTGTCACAGGCGAAAAAGAAGAAAATTGCAGTAAAAAGCCACAACCAAATTGTAAACAATGAAGAAATGTAAACAAACAGCTATTGTCAAAATCGTTAAACTTTTTTCCTAAATGCGATTCTAACGGGCTACTCTCCTGCCCGCGTGATCTTGTATTTTTGGTTCATGCGGACAACTGATGCTGGTTGAGTTCGTGCTGGCAGCTTTAGCTTTGGTTTTGTATGAGCTGTTTGAGAAGTGAGTGGGCTTATTCCGCGTTATGTGTTTTGTGTAGCGAATTTCTTCCATATGTTGGTGCGCATTATTATCCAAGTTGGCGTTTGCGAAATTTGTATGTGCTTACCATGCCAGCTTCGTGTGTGCGTATGTATGCATGTATGTATTGTACATCGGGGTGCTTTTAGTCCACGTTGGTATGTTAGTTTGTGTGTACGTCTACCAGTATGTATGTATGTTTATATATTGGTATATATGTGCAGTTGAAAGGTACGCTAGGGTGATGTCGAGTATGTTATTGTAGCGTGGGCGAAGCTACGTTACAAAACTTTAATTCATTCTGATTTATCTGTTAACAGTTAGTTATAGATATACACTAGGCGACAAATGAAAGTGAATACCTTGTTCTAATATTCACAATTATTTCATTTCATTTATTTCGGTTCGGTTTCGGTAATTTTCATGAAAAATTTTTCGCGTTAATCATTTATGAAAATAGGTTTGCTCCACAAGCTATCCACTTGCAGAAAAGAAAAGTTCAAACTGTCAGCGTATATCAAATAAACTCTAAATCTTACTTGTGGAACTCGTGTGTGTAACTCGAAGTGACTTCGAGTAGCTTGTGGAACAAACCTAATAAAGTTCGTTCTATAATAGCCGTGTTTTATTTGTCCAGAAATTTAAGCTTTTAGCTTATTTTGTATGGAGGACTTACCCAACATAATTATATTGGCTTATGAAAAGCTATCTTGGCTTGTATATTGAACAAGAGGCATTGCCATTCAGCATCAGAAATTTTCTCCTTCAGCCAATCAGAAAGAGGCTAAAACTTACTTTGACACTATTTGCAGTCAAACAACTATCAAAATTAGGCTAACATAGGAAATAAGCTAATTTCGTTTTATTTGACCAAGATTTAGCTATTTGCTTGTGATGGTTGAATAAAACACGCCTAATATAAACCATATAAATCAAAGTTTTTCACTTTAGAGTTTTTCCGAGACAACTTTTGCGGTTTATTAACCGACTTCCCAAAAAGGAGGAGGTTATCAGTTCGTCGGAATCTTTTTTTTTTTTTTTTTATGTATGTTACCGCATAACTTTGGACCACGTCAACCGATTTCGATAACTTTTTGCATCGGAAAGGTAGTGTCTCAGAGGTGGTCCCATACTAATCTGGTTAAGATCCGATCAGTGGATCATGATATATATATATATATATATATTTTTTATATGAGAGTTGAAGTCGGTTTTTTTTTTTGCTAAAAATTACTTGTTTTATATAACAAGTGCAATTTACAAAAATGATTTTTTGAAATTTCGTTGCTAATTGAATGTGAAATAACACAAATTTGCTTTATTTCATTTCTCGTTGTGCAATAAGACCAACTTTAAACTTAACAATTTGAGTAATAAAGCAAAATAGTGCACATATGTAGGTAGTCGCCCAGTTACATTTGACAAAAAGTAGTAATGAACAAGTTAAATGAACGGATTTGTAAGTATACAATTTTGAAAGTGCCCAGCGTCGAGGAGGTCCGCGTTCGCGCGCCACCCCACGGCGCGCCGCGTTCAACGTCGCGCTCGCGTCCCCCGCCCCTTCCCCTCCTTTCGTAATTATGCTCTGGTGGCATTATAACCGTTTAGAAAAAAATTATAATAATAAAATAACACTAGTTCACTTCTGAAACTGCTTTTTAATGTCCAAGTAATGGGAATTATTGTGTATGGTGTTATTGCATGCATCCCACCCGTAGTGGAATTTACCAGGTGCCACTGCCTTATTTGAAAATTTGCCTATAAAATGTGACTATAAGGCAGCCGAACTTCAGAAAAAAAAGCGAGAAAGCCGTTTTATTACTTCATCTGCTTATTGCGAAACTGTTCCATGCAAACATTTTAAGGTTTTCCAGCAATGTTTTGAACATATTAAAAAGCAAGCAGATAAAATTCATAGAAAAGCGCTATGTCCAATATGACGAGCAGTTATTAAAGACGATGCTTTCCCTATATTTTGATAACCTTTCATAAGTAAAAATATTTTGTGAATATTACTTTCTTCATATGAATTATATCACACTTTTTGTTTAGTTCAACGCCTATCAAACAGGTTTAGAGCATTTGAGCAAAAACAACATTTGCCTGTATTTTGTTGTTGCTTCTGGTATCGAAAGTGTCAAAAACTGTTCTGATTTTTTTCTTCTACATCAAAGAGTGCCTTTTGAAATAGAAAAAAGAACTTAAAAATTAAAATTGTTGCAACTTTCTTTCTTAGTAAATTGGTCTGCTTCTCGAAGCATTGATCCATTCTGTGCCAGGCCCAGTAACCAGCGGTTGTGCTGCTGAGTTGGGCGAGCGTTCCAAAAGCTGCTAATCAATCGCTGGTTTTGTATGGGAAAAGGTTCACATGCAAATAGATTTTAACAATTTAGACATTTTATGAGAATAAATTAAAAATATTTGACATTTTCGAGAACAAATAATTTGAAAAAAAATCAAATCAGCTGCTATACTGATACTACCTATTCCATTTGCCTTGGTTTAATTGTATTTTTGGAATAAACAAAGTTCTTTTCCCTTCTGCCAGTAAACTGTTTTTTTTTTTGTACAAATAGTATAAATAAGCAATAGGAAATAAGGCAAAATTTGTTTTATTTCCAACCTTTGGTGTAAAAAGATTTGTGCGCCTGGGCCGTGGTTCTGAAGTTAAAGTTCTCTTAATTAATTTTAATCAGGGATCATAGATAGCAGTTATTTTTTCCAACAGTTAAACTTAGCCAGATATTTTTTAATTTCGAAATAAAAGTCTTTCCGGATATTAAACAAACCGCTTATCCAAATCAAACAAATTTGGTACCAAATGAAAGAGTACTTAAATAGCTTTTTAACAGAAATAAAGATCGAAGGCTACCACTTCTATTTACATTTTTCTTTATAATTTAATACAAAGGAAATGCATATACCTGACCCAAGGTTTGTTCTATGGTAATTAAAAAACATTTTTTATTTAAATATTTTTCAATAGCTGGCTTTCTGATGGCTTTCCTCGTTTAAATATTTCAGTTTTAAAGCTATTTTAGTCCTCTTTCAGTTGATACCACACTTGTTTAATTTGGATAAGCGGTGTGTTTATTATTAGGAAAGGACTTTTATTTTCAACTTAAAAATATCTGGCCAAGTTTAGCTGTTGAAAAAAGTAACTGTTATTTACGGTCCCTGATTTTAATCAAAATAATCCTGACAGTTGCATGTTTCGAACTTAATATAACATAACTAACAATAAGTTTAGTGGGGTTTCGTCAAGACTTTCACGAACTTAGCTTCCGCGGAACCGTGGCATGAGTTCTATGAGATGAGTTAGGTTGGGTGAGTTGAGGCGAGTTGCGTTAAACGATGTTTCCACGCCAAGTGATTCGCTCTCCCATTCGTAATTCGCTCTCTCATTCGTGATTGGCGCCCCTATTACGAACCGAATCACATAATTCGCCATACAAAATTTTGAGAGCGAATCACTTCATTCGTGGGTGATTCAGATCCAATCAACATGCGAATCAAGAACAAATCGTTGTCTTCTCTAATTTTTATCGATAACGGCTGTCAAAACACATAGACCACACACATCCCCACCAGCACAAACATTGAAAAAAATAGCTATATTCGTTAAAACCATATATGTAATACTCCTATATTGGCAGTAAGAGCTAGTACCGTCCGAAAACACTACAGTACAGATATATCGATAAACACGTACGAAAGAAAAGGAACACAAACGTTTATAAATAAACATGTACACAACACATAAACAAAAACGGCACTCAAGTACACAATACATTGATAAAAACAGTACTAGACTGTCTCGCTTTGATTTCGGAATACTTACACATTGAGAAGTTAGCTTACTGCCAATATAGAAGTACTACATATATGGTTAAAACTATTGATTTAGCTAATTAACCACTGCAAATTTTTTCTCCACCGTTGAAATGCACAATTAACAGCACATTAACAGCCCTATTCCGCCACACTGACAAAACTCACCGCGATGACAATTGATATAAAAATGACAATTGCAGCTTTTTGGTATTCTCAGCAAAATTCAAAAGCTCGAATCATGCCAATTGTCATTTTTATTGTCATGACCTTTTGGGCAGGTGACAAGGCAAAAACATATGTTTGTGTTGATATAAAAAGTGCGACGATTTAATAAATTTGTGAAAAAAATATAAAAAATACTCATTTCAATGGCAGAACAAATTCTAGTTATTTGCGCAGCCGTGCTTGTAGAAGACGAGCAAAACCTGGAAAGGAAGCGACTTTTGAGGGAGCTCAGGGACGACAGCGACCCGTTTTCGATGCAGGAGATAGTTTTTATCCAGAATTTTCGCTTTCCTAAATCACTTTGTCGCGAACTAATGCAACAATTGGAACCACGCGACCCTCAGAAATCCGCCATCCCTTTTATAATAAGATTTTTGGGGAGCCTGTATTTCTACGCACATGGTTCATACCAGAAGTGTGTAGGAAACAACTTCCAAATTGCGATGAGCCAGCCGTCGGTGTCGCGCGCCATTCATAACATCTCAAAGATAATAATGGATGTTAAGGGCGGCGAAATAAAGTTCCCCAAAACTTCAAATGAGGTCTTGGATGTTAAAAAGGGGTAATAAATAGAATTTTTAAAAAAAGGTAAATAAAATGTATGTTATATCATTACTTTCAGCTTTTATACGGCATTTAAGATCAAGGGAACGATAGGTGCTGTTGACTGCACGCACATAGGCATAGTCGCTCCATCATCAACAGACCCAAGTAACCCTCTATGCATGTATATGAACCGGAAAGGTTTCTACAGCATTCACGTAGAGGCTGTAAGTATTACTACATCTTTTTTTTACATACGGTAAATGATAAATTAAATAAAATTTCAAAGCAATGAAAATTCTGTAAGAAATCGAATACATTATTATACAGTTTTCTTTCTCAATAGGTATGTGATCATCGGCTATAAATGCAAGATTTTCTGGATCCTGCCACGACTCTGGTATTTGGACTACATCCCCAACACGCCTTCATCTTCTAAGAGCACATAGAAGCCAGTGCGATAACTGGTTGTTAGGGGATCAGGGTTACCCACTGGAACCATGGCTTCTAACTCCAGTGGCAGAGCCACCGAATGCTAAAGAAGTGAAATTCAACACCCTACACGCAAAGGCTCGAAATTGCGTAGAAAGAGCTTTCGGTGTTCTGAAATCAAGATTTCGGTGCTTAGCAAAGCACCGCATTCTGCATTATTCCCATGAGAGAGCCGGGAATATTATATACGCTTGTGCAATCCTCCACAACATTCTTTTGAAACACGGCGTTGCTGCAGACTTGGGTTTCGAAGCTCTAGACGAATTTGAGGAGGATGTTGCTACTAACGAAGCTGCAGAAAATGCTAATTTGAGAGAGGGTGCGAGAATTAGAGAAAGATATATATCTTCATTATAAGGTATGCATACCGGAAGAATGTTACCAATGCATTTATTTTTCTATGCTTGTTTTTTCAGTTTAATAATTCAGCAACGATGTAACCGCGCGTTTGCAGCCTTAACGATTTTTGGTTTTAATTAATATTACTTACTACTATTAATATTATTACATATTACTATTACTATTATTATTATTACATAATACTATTTTTACTAATTACTATTACTATTATTACATATTACTATTATTATTACATATAACCATTATTTTTACTATTATTATTCATCACTACTTTTACTAATTACTATTATTATTACATATTACTATTATTAATTACTGATTATTATTACATATTACTAATATTATTATTTACTATTATTACTTACTATTATTATTAATTACTATTATTAATTACTATTATTATTATTTACTATTATTATTATTACTATTATTATTAATTACTATTATTATTACCACTATTTTTATTATTATTTAAATTCTGGTGTTGAGTGCTTTATAATTTTTATGCAAAGCTTGAAATGCGAATTAAAGCTAATAGATTTAAGTAAAACGGTTATACCCTAGTATATAACCATTTTTTGTATTAATGTTTTAAATAAAAAATTTAAAATTTAAACTACAAAAATTGTCCATATATTTCAAGTTCCTTTTTTGCACATTTAGTTACACATTGTATGTTACGATGTACAAACATATTTAATAGCTCAAAGTAGCATTTTAACAACAACATTTGCATAAAAAGGTATATATATAAAGGTATCCATATATGTTTCCAGTATATATATATTTCCAGTAAAGTTTCAATATTTTTGGAAGGCGCCACGCCCCCTTTTCCAATATCCCCCACTTTTCTCCATGAGTGTGGGATTGATACCATACCAAGTTCCAGGACTCTACCACAAATACTTCCAGAGATATGCGGTATGTAAAATTCGATTTGTATGGGAGATGTATGGGAGAAAGGTGTCCAAAATTTCAAAAAAATCGGTACAGCCGTTTGCGAGATCACCTCTTATAAAAAGATGGGACTTCTCTTTATATAATTAGTGTAGATTATGTTTTTTATTTTTTTTTTACACCAATGCAAAACCAATTCAATTTCATATTTATAAAACCTACACTGCCGGAACAAAGTATTGGCACAGTATTGGTCATTCTGCAAGAACGACGGCGATATGCGATATACATATATAATGTAGTAAAGTATCATGTATGTATACAAATTCATAGTTCTGTTTTGTATAATGTATGTCTTTCTTTCTTCTTTTTTTGGCGCTGTAACCGCCTAAGCGATTTTGGCCGAGTTCAGCAAAGCACGCCAGTCGTTTCTCCTCTGTGCCAACTGACGCCAATTGGAAACGCCAAGTGAAGCCAAGTCCTTCTCCACCTGATCTTTCCATCGCAGTGGGGGCCTCCCTCTTCCTCTGCTACCACCAGCGGGTTCCGAGTTGAATACTTTCAGAGCTGGAGCGTCGGTGTCCATTCGAACGACATGGCCAAGCCAGCGGAGCCGCTGTATTTTAATTCGCTGCACTATGTCCATATCGTTGTAAAGCTCATACAGCTCATCGTTCCATCGTCTGCGGTATTCGCCGTCGCCAACGCGTAAAGGACCGTAAATCTTCCGCAAAATCTTTCTCTCAAACACCCCAAGAGCCGCCTCATCGGATGTTGTCATTGTCCATGCTTCTGCGCCATATACCAGCACGGGCATGATGAGTGACTTATAGAGCGTGGTTTTCGTACGTCGAGAGAGGACTTTACTCCTGAATTGCCTACTCAGTCCAAAGTAGCACTTGTTGGCAAGAGTGATTCTACGTTGGATTTCAATGCTGACATTATTATCGGTGTTAATGCTGGTTCCCAAGTAAACGAAATTCTCTACTTTCTCGAAATTGTAACTGTCAACAGTGACGTGGGTGCCAAGGCGCGAATGTGCTGACTGTTTGTTTGATGACAGGAGATACTTCGTCTTGTCCTCGTTTACCACCAGACCCATGCGCTTTGCTTCCCTATCCAACTTGGAAAAGGCAGAACAGACTTCGCGGTTTTTGTTACCGATGATGTCGATGTCATCGGCATAAGCCAGCAATTGCACGCTCTTGTAGTAAATTGTTCCTGAGCGGTTCAGTTCTGCAGCTCTTATTATCTTCTCCAACATCAGATTAAAGAAGTCACATGAAAGGGAGTCGCCCTGTCTGAAACCCCGTTTTGTGTATAATGTATGTACATAAGTAAAAATAACAAAACACAAATACATGCATAAACATAAACGTCCCCACTGGGGAAATTGGTAAGCTCATCGGTAAGGTACATATAGATTTTCGAATTCAGTCTTGTACTCACATATTTGTACTTGTTTTTAACAAAAAATAAAAACATAACACAAATATATGCATAAACATAAACGTCCCACTTGGGAAATAAGTAAGCACTTAGTAAGGTACATATAGATTTTCGAATTCAGTCTTGTACTCACATATTTGTTCTAGTTTTTGATGCATGTATGTATATCAGTGGGTTGTTTTAATACATATACGCCATATTATACATACATATGCGCCACTGACTGACACGTAGTTTAACCCCCAAAACCCCCCTGCTGGATCCGCCACTGATGTATATAGATATGAAAATGGCATTTGTAGTACAAATAATTATTTAAGTAAATATCATACTTGTACAAGGATATGTTTTTAAGAATTTATTGCACACATATTTGCATTCTTCTATACACACATAAACAGATTTACATCTGTTGCGCATACATTTATATATCTAACAGTAATAAATAACTTTGTTTATGTATGTAAGAATGTAAATATGAGTGCAATAAATTCTTAAAAGCATCCTTGTACATGTATGAAATTTAATTATATAATTATGTGTTCTACAATTTCCAATTTTCATATCAATATACATACATACATATGTATGTATTCTTATAAGTAAGTGCACAACCTAAAGGAATACTAGGCTTAAGGATATATAATTGGATATTGGTCCAGCTTAGCATTAAGCTTTTCCAACACCACGGTCATCTGGTTTACGGCTGTGCTCAGCAGATGAAGAGTGGCGATGAGCACTTCGTGTTGACTTGCCTCCCTTTCATCCTTAATTTGGAGGCTGTTAAGGGCAGCATTTAAACTTGTTACGGTTTGCGATGTTCTTGCTCGTGGGTTACAGCCTGTTACACCTGGTGGGACAGTTAGCAAGTCATTTAAGGCGGCTGCCTCAGAATTAGGATTCTGCGGTGCCGAAAGCGGTGCTGAACTCTCGCAAGTCACCAACTCACTGGAATTGACAACCTCGGTCTGAATTACATCTGATTCAATTAGATCTGTTTCAGTTATATCTAGTTGAGAGCTGCATAGTGGTTCCTAATGAAACATTATAGTTTGGCAAATGTTATGTATGAATATCTAGATCCCTTAAATAGGCAAGTTTTTACTTATTTGTACAACGATTTTGGTGTGGGGGTGAATAGGGAGGGGGACAATACCATATTTCAAACCCAAATTATTAAAAATAGAGCACAGATATAGCTTTTTTTTAATAAAGTGTAGACTCTTGTCTACAAGTGTGTGTAAAAGTTATTTGATTCGGTTCACGCGTTTGAGCACAGCAACTCAAAACCGTTGTACAAATAACTAAACAGTACCCCTTAAATACATTACAGACACGTAGATATGTATTTCAAGGAAACTCACATACCTCATGCCCAAATGTACCCATGTTTGCTCGTCCGTATACTGCCGCCGCCCCAAAAGTTTCAAGCGCCTGTTGTTCGAAATCAGAGATGTCTGCCGTCCGTGGTCCCCCACCGGTTCCAGTTACGTCCACATGCACTTTTCGTGCTCTGCAGCGTAGCTGGTTTTTCCACGCCGCTAATATCTGCGAAATAATGTGTGTATGCAAATGTATTCATCCATAAATGAAAGATATAAATACATACATATGTATGCATGTAAATATACAAAACTTACATCTTTCCACTTTGCTACGGAGCGGGTGGGACCACGCATGGCGTTTAGGCTGTCAGCCATCTGCGTCCAAAGTGTTTGTATCAGTTTTGAGGAGCTCGGATTATTTCTTCCTTTCTGCAGCTCCGGATGCTCCCTACAAAACTGCACATAAAATTGCAGCTGCTCCTGCGTCGTCCGCTCATATTTTGCACGTCTAAAATGTTTATAAATGTCATAAATATACGAATTTATCTATTTCACACAAGTACTCACTTCTCTGGTGTTTCGCCGCTCATATTTTTTTGCAAATAATAGCGTTGACCAGCTGTTTCTACAACAACCAACTTTTCACCATGCATGGTAAGTTGACAAAAGCTTTTCCCTTGTCATTTTTTGTTAGGAATGTCAACGTGCAACGACAATGACAAAATCACGACAACGAAGGATGATCAATTGTCATTCTATTGCAAAACCGGAATAGGGCTGTAAACATTAAACAAAAGCAAAGAACAAGAAGCAGAGATGCTAAGTGAAACACGAATTCGCCGTTCATAATTGAGAGTGATTCGGTTGTTGTGGAAACGCCGTTATTAAGATGAGTTGAGGTAAGTTAAGGTGAGTTGAGGTGTGGTGAGTTAAGTTAAGGTGAGTTGAGGTGTGGTGAGTTAAGTTTAAGTGAAGTGAGGCGTTTTGAGTTTTTCGATCTGCAAAAATAAAAATAAAACACAAAAGTTAATTTTTATTTCTGAAAGAAAAAATAACGCTCAAGAAAGGAGTTTTATTTTCGATCAAAATAATAAAACTCAAAGAATAAGCATTATTTTTGATGAAAAAAATAAAACTAAAAAAAATAATTATTATTATTATTTCTGATCAAAAATATAATACTCATAATATAATGATTATTTATGATCGAAAAGAAAACAACTCACAAAATAATTATTACTTGAGAGCAAAAAAATAACGCTCGAAATATGAGTTTTATTTTTGATCAAAAAAATGTAATTCAATAAATGATTGTATTTTCTGAGCAATAAAATAAACTCAAAATGTGATTATTATGATTGATCGCAAGTATTGAAATCTCAAAATAATGATTAAATGTTAATTTTTTTGATAAAACTCATAATGATTACGGTCCCTTGTATATACAGTAATAAACCTTT